GCCAACCTCCGCCAATGGTCCCACACCAGTATCAAATTTTGTATAAATAATTTTCTTCTGAATGTGCTGATCTTAATGAATCAGTTCCCCCCTCCTCCCTAGTGCGTTTGCTGCCATCAATACCCTGCTGCACACTCTCATTGTCACTTCCACCTACTCTAGGAATTCTTTTCCACTGTCTCTTGCCCCCCTTAACTCCAACATCGTCAGTTTTTAATCTGGCTTCATGCACACCCTCGCCACGTTACCCTCTCCCACGTTACCCTCTCCCCTACTCCCTGATAAAAGGTGCTATGTTGTTTTCTAATTGTTTCCCCGTTATCACCATCAATCGAGGTAGATATTTCCCCCACCATCTCCTTGTTGCCTTCCTGCCGAACATTTTCCACCTCCCCTTCCCTTATTTTAAGCCCCTTCAATTTAAAGCTTATCTGCATCGTCACCCCCACCATCCCCACTACTAGGAGGCATTTGTTTTTTGGTTATAAACAAACGCTTAATTGCATTACTCAAACCTCCATCTTCCTCCCCAATATCACTCTTTACTACCTTCCAAGAGGTGGACACCCTTAGTTTCTCACTGAATTTCCTAGTCCCTACTAACTCATCGCAATCCTTCTCACCATGACCAAGTAAGCCACATAGGTAGCAAAAAACAGGAAGTTTCTCATATTTAATAGGAACTTCAATGGAACCCCTCCCCGTTTTTAATTCAACAACATTCATGAGAGGTTTATTCACTCCACAAGAACACGGATTCTCAAAGATTTGTTAATACCAATAACATCCGATTTATCCATGGCAAGAAAAATCCCAATTTTATCACCTATTCGTCTTGCATTATCCTCATTATTTCTACCCTTAAAAGGTAAGTCATAAATACGCAACCAAAAGGGAACTACATTCAAAGGAATTTCGAAGGGTTTTGAGTTACCTTTAATGTCATCACGGATCAGAACATGATGATCAAAGTGCCATGGCTACGAGTCCATAACAAACTGCTTATCCTTCCAATGATGGAATTGAAAGAAAAAAGTTTTTCGCCTATAACATTCGCCTCACATCCATATTTAGGGTTCCATATTTTATTCATTGTCGAAGTCAAAGCATTGGAATTGACATTGCGCGTAGTATGAATCCTTCCAACAATTGCCAATTCGATTTGCGCATCTTCATCGCCTCCTCCACTTCCTCCCAATCAATCTTACGCTCCTTCGCAACAGGTTTGGAAAGAGGATTAATAGCATGATCAGAGGTTTCGGTTTCAAAAGTAGCCATCATAACGTACAAATAAAGGTAGAAATCAACCTTTAAAGTAGAAGCAAGGACTAGCAAGAGCTAGAAGGAAACCCTCCAAAGAGAAAACCCTAGAGGGAACTAGCTTTGTTCCTGGGATTATATATATATATATATATATATATATATATATATATATATATATATATATATAGTCAATTATGGATTAAATATAACATTACAATATAAAATTTGCGTTTTGATTATTTGGTTTTGATTATATATAAAATTTGCGTTTTGGTTATTTGGTTTTCTTCTAAACATGGTGAATTATGGTTTACCTTCAATTTTAGGGTCATATGAGAAGAGTCTTACAATGAGATATAATCTTGTCCATTCAAATAAATTGATCCAATGGCTTTAATCACATGTCTCATTAATGGCAAAACCGTAAATAATATTAAATACTTCTTTTCCCCAATTCTCTTTCTCTTCACGTGCACTACTTCTCCTTCTCTTTCCTCCATTTTCATCACTCTTCCTCTGGCCACTTTTGTTCAAAAGAAGATCCAATCTCTCTCTCCTCCCTGCCTCCTTGATCATCTTTTCCCCCACCTTTTCTCTCTCTCATCTTTCTAGCTTATTCCCATCCAAAATCCAATCCCTTCCCTCAAACCTTTGAACTTCTGAGTGAGTTATTGTTTGATTAATACAAGTATTGTTGAACAAAGAAAATTACAAGTAGGTAAACTCTATCACAAATTCGAAAATCAAATTAATCATCAATTTTATTTCATTGTAGATCAAAATGGATTTGGGAGTTTCTTGACTAAGTGACTCAAATTAGCGTGTTCCTGTGAACGAACCCACAGCTCAAATGCATAATTTTTAAACTAAACATGCATTATTCTTGTACAAATTGTGCATATATTTTTGATGATATGTGCATATTTATTGAGTTAAATGTGCAAAAACTTTTGTACTAAGGGTGCACATCTTTTAAATTAAATGCGCATATTGTATAATATGCTCCGGACGAATCTATTTATGATCTAAATTAAGGTCAGTGAATCGTTATTATTGGGGTTGCAAGTCTTTCATGGCCACAATTACTTTCTCAATCATCTCTAAAATTAAAAGTTAGAACTCTAAATATGTTCTAATGGAGAAGAGAGAGACAGAGAGTTCGTCAACGATAAACAATACGTAAATAAAAGTGAAAAATAAATGTGCAAAATTTTTGAATTAAATGTGCATAATTTTTTAATTAAACGTGCATAATAATTGTTCTAAATGTGCATTTGCACATGTGAAATGTGAATCGTTGGATTTATTTGTATGGTCAAGATTCCTTCTCATCCTTCTCATTTTAAGATCCTTATCATTGGATCACAACCCTATATATAGGAAAATGGAAATTAATAATCCCACCTTTGCTCGGTCTTTTCAAAACAATCCCACCTTTGACATACATCTTCTTTTAACGATCCCTTACCGGTTTTGGTAGGATGGTAACCTGTTAGAGTAGGTAATTTGCCACGTGTTGATTGTTTATAGGTCACATTATTATTATTTTTTTAACCTTCTTCTCTTTCCCCACGACCACCTTCTTCCATGGCTTCCCAACCACCTTTCTCTTCCATGACAAATTCACAAGTGTTACTGTCAAGATCTCTTTCTCTCCTTTTGATTTTCTCTCTCCTCTTCTAAGGATCTCTTTTGGTTTTTCCTCAATTTTTTTTTAGTTTATCTGGTTCGTTCTTTATTAATTTTATTTTTTTGATCGGTTTTTTTTTTTTCTTTTAATGTTTTGAATTTACATTTTCGATGTGTTTATTGTGATGTTTGAGTTAATTATTTCGATTATTTTGGCTCAAATAGTATTGTTCTTATTAATATTGTAATTTTTGCTTGTTCATCTTCACTATTCACTTACCACGGTTGTAGCATCAAAACCGCAGCACCTCGAGAAAAATGTAGCTTTATTGTGTCGAGATTCTTCAAATGCTTGTTTCAAGGTGGGGGATTTCGATTCAGGAAGAGGGTTTTCGGTGTGGGTGGGGATTTTTGGGGTGGGAATTATGGTGGTGTGAATTTCGGGGTGAGCTATTCAGGTGGGAGGGGTGGGGTAAGGGGTGGTTCAGGCGGCGGCAGGGTGTGGGGTAGGGGTGGAGTTGCAGTTCAAGTGGCAAGGGTTATTGGGGTGGTGGTTATGGTGGTTAGTTGCCATGGAAAAGGGTGGAAAGGTTGGAAAAGGAGAATTAAAAAATAAATAAAAAAAATTTAACCTATTTAACAGGTTATGGGTCAAAAGGACCGTTGAAAGAAGATCATGTCAAAGGTGGATACTTTGGAATAATCGAAAGGTGAGATTGTCTTGGGAAGACCAAGCAAAGGTGGGATTATTTATTTCCATTTTTCCTTCTCTCTCTCTCTCTCTCTCTCTCTATATATATATATATATATATATATATATATATATGAATTAACACATAATTGAATGAATATTAAGCTCGTAGAAGAAACCAGGACCGTACAAAAAAATGGCTACAATTGACATTATCAAAACCAAAAAAAATTAAAAAAAAAAAACATTAAAATTTTACCTTAAATCGATGGGCAAAGAACTTAAAGAATGAATCACTCAAATCAATAATTCACAAAGATGTCAAAGCAATACTCCCAATTCGTTTTTGTTTGATGTATGAGTATATCAATTAGGAATTAGATGATTGAAGAATGATGGAAGATAACCCATATATATATATATATATATATATATATATATATATATATATATATATAATATATATATATATATATATATATATATATATATATATATATATATATATATATATATATATGTATGTATATATATATGTATGTATATATATATACGTATATATGTATGTATATATATATGTATGTATATGTATATATATATGTATATATATATGTATATATATACGTATATATGTATGTATATATATATGTATGTATATATGTATATGTATATATATATATGTATGTATATGTATATATATATGTATGTATATGTATATATATATATATGTGTATATATATGTATATATATATATATATGTATGTATATGTATATATATGTATATATATATAATAATTAGCCGTTTGATAAGAATATTTGTGGAAAATCAAAATTAATTGCTCATTGCCATTGTTATGGAAGAATAATCGTTTGAAATTGACTGAATATATTTTTTTTTTTTCCGTTAAAAATCCTTGAATTCAATTTTCCATGGAATTGAATTGATGTAATTATGATAAAATTAATTTGAATTGATGGAGGAATTTGGAAAGTTGTAGGAATTAATATGAAAGCTTAATAAAGAGAGGAAAATAATTTTGATCCGTGGACTGATGTCCTTAGGCAAATTTTGGCACAAACAAAATCAAGCATGTATTCAAGATTACATTAGAGTTAGCTCATTAATGCCCATCTAAATAGATGGGGCCTTCATATAAAAAATAAAATAGTCTGCTCATTAGTCGATCATGATCATAGCAAATTTATAAGAATAATATATTCCTATACACTAAAAGAGCAAATTGATATAGAACAACAAAATCAACAAGTTCTAGCAATCATAAAAGTCAATTTGTAATTTAATATCTAGATATCGCTCATCTTGTACTAAATTTAGTTATCCAGTTGCAACATAACCTTAACCAACCAATATCCAAAATAAAAAAGAGCCTTAAGCAAGGTAATAACTGAGACATACCTGTTATATGAGGACTTTACTTGGCGCCTCCTATATTTGATTTATTATCTGCAAAGATAGAAGAAAACAAAAAAGGGTAAATAAGAAAAAATAAGAAAAGGGAATATATTGTCTTCATCTTATTATAGTTGTTCACATTAATTACCAGCTAGCCAAGAACAAGAATATATTTTTGCAAAAATATATGCAGTGTCATTGTTTGACTTTCCCAAACTACCAACCTGCTTTTAGAAACCAAACATAATTTTAGTCTCTAGCTTGCGGTGAATAATATTGTGAAGTCTTAGACTAAGTAAACCAGATGAAGTGTTCCATATGGTTTTTTAAAACTTCATCTCTGTTATACCTAGAAAAAGGTAAACAAGTAAAAATAAAAAATAAATTAATTAATTTAAAAAAAAAAACTACCTTTATTTTCGTTCCATTCACTAAATCAATTGCCAAAAAAATTATCCAACAAATTTTAAAATTTTATCTCAGCTAATTAAAAAAATTTTGAAAATTGAAATAATGAGAAGTTACATACCAATTGAGCCAATAGACATCATACAGTCGATATTATCAAGACGATGTTGCACAGATCTCAAGACTGCGTTCAATGATGACACTCTTTTCCTGATATTAGAAAGCTTGGTGGCATGCTGCATAATAAATGGCAATGGTACATCCTCCAATAGCTGATCGAGCTCTACCAAGCCGAGAGCATTAGAAAAGGCAGAGCATTCATTTAAATAAAAACTACAATACAAACAGCAGACCAACAAACAAAAGAAAATAAAAAGAAAATGCACTGAAGAAGAAAAAGAATGGTGTGTGTGATGCTTTTATATAAATTAATGCAAAAGAAATGACCCATCAAACACGACATTGCTCTAGTATAAGTTTTGCTAATCAAACCCTTAAGTCATCTACAATCATCACTAGGGATAATTGTCAAAGCCTCCCTTATATATAGTATTATATTTAGATGACAACTGCGAAGCACATGTTTGAATAACTATCTTAGAAGTCCAAAAACTTGAGCTTTGCTAGCATTTAAATTAATTCGTCAAATGCTCCGACAACTGACCCATAGACTCACCATGCTCCCTGACCTCCACCAACCCATTACCATCTTCCTCCACTGCAGGTCTGCAGCCACCATCACCGTCTGCCCACCACCAATCACTGCTGTCAGTCCCAACCACCACTTTAATCATAAAGTCACAACACCACCACAGTATCCCCAGACTAGGGATGGTAAATTCGTAATGGCTCAGATTTGAATAATCCTAACTTCAACCCTAAAACCTGCCAAAGTTCTGATTCAATCCGACTTAGACTCTCAATTTTGTTTCGACCGAATATGTTTCATTTTTATTAACAAAAAATAACAATAAAATAAAATAATCTAAAACAACTAATCTAATGATCCTTACTATTTTTATAGGAGTCATTTGGCAGTGCCACAAACTAACAAAATTTTAACAAAAATATATAATCAACATCAGAGGCCAATTAAACTGTAAATATATGATAAAAAGTATACATGTACAAAGTCGGACTCAGATCGGATAACTCTTCGACCCTCCTCCAACTCGGAGTTGGATTTTTAGAAATGGAGACGGATTCGGGTTATTAATGTGAGATTTGGCTCAGATTTTTTTTTTTCTTCGAATCTGAGCAAGATTGCCACCTCTACCCATGACCCTAACTCCTAACATGTCATTTCAGACTATCAGGAGTATGCCAAAGGTATAGAGAGGGGAGGAGGGGTTGAACACTTGCTGAAGAATGGAGGGAAGAGGGACAGCAAACTTAAGAAGTGGAGGAAGGGAGCTAAAGACTCACAATTCATCAAGAGAAAGGAGGCGGAAGGAAGCAAGCTCGCCAAAGGATAGAGAAGGGTGAAGGGAGGGGAAGGGAACACTTGGTAGAAGGCTGAAAGGGAGAGGGAAGTCGCCAAAGGAGGGAAAGTCGAGAAGGGGGGTGCGATGCATCCTATCAGAGCACCACCCTTGATGACGTATACTAGACATAGGGCCAACAGAAAGAAATCATTTAAGAATGTGTGAGGTGGCAAAAGAGACAAAGAATAATCAGGGTAGCTGGGATTCAAAGACTGCTGATAACAGGCTGTGAGGATAGCAAAACAAAAAGGGAAGGGGAGGGTAACAGTAGGGGTATTGAGAATTGTGTACTAGTTGCTTGAGTGAGTGTAAGCCTCTAAAATTCCTTAAGAGTAATTACCCGATCATCATCTTCCTCTCCTTGTTTTCAGCGTCTATCAATTATTAAATTAATTTGTGACTAATCTGCATCTAGTCGCATTGCAACTTACAAGTGGTACTGGAGCAAATTTATCAATGGCTCCTTCCACCTCCAGGCAGCGGCTAGACAGACTTGAACTGAAGCTAGCCACCCTAGAAAATTTTGGTGATGACAACGGTGGAACGAGCAATGGATAGGCTATAGAAGGGAGGATAAAAACCAGGAAGTTCTCGATCCAGATACAAACCTAGTACTAAAAAAGGGAGCAGCACAAGATAGACAGCACACTGGCAAAACAACAAAAACTAACTATACAAACTATACACTTAATTTAGTTAATTTCTCAAGCCATTAACAATCTTTACTTCCTATCTTCCTAGAGACAATACCTAGGATTCTATTTCTAATCTCAAATTTTATATTCTTTACAATAGTATGTACACATAAGACTTTTAAGTCCCATAGAGCAGTATTTCTAGCTTTCCAAATCTGGTACACAATTGCCAAAATGCAGGTTGTAAACACTCCTTATTGAAAACTATCTAGTTTTGTAGCTATTTCACTTGCTGTATTCAAGTTCTTGAGGTTGATACCAATACCTAGACATTGTTGCATCTGCTCCAAAAATTTTAGGCTATAAGAGCAGTCAAAATTAAGTGATGATGATTCTCAGCAACATCCACACATAGCAGGCAAGTTGTATCAGTAGCAGCCCCAAACTTTAGCAGTCTATCTCTGGTTAGTAATCTCTGCTCCCAATCAATAGTTTGATGAATATAACATGACCACACCCAACAGAGCAATGGGAGGTTAGCATTAACTACCGTGATTTTTTTTTAATTAAAGGGAACAATTATCTAGAGCAACAACAACAGGGGAACTAGTCACCACCCACCAGGGAAAATGTTAAAATGGGGGTATTGAGTCTGGCAGAACCTAGGAGAGGCTTTGAGCACTCCATAGTGCTCACAAGGGAAGCAATCTAGTAGGGGTGAGGCCAAACCATTACCCACAATTTCAAAAAGACAAGATTGAAAAATTGATTAATAAATGAGAGAAACTTGAATCATAACAAAAACCCTCCAAGTTTGTCAAATCTATTACGAAGTATAATATTCTGAAGGATTTCTAATATCACGTTTTACAAATCAAGATAAAACCTTGAATTGTTGCGATTTTTGAGATTGTGTTGTATGTCCAATCTTCATGAATAACATGGCAGGCAATGAGGATAATGAGCAAACTTGCACACAACTCTTAAAGCAACATTGGCCAGTTCAATGATGAGTAGTTGAGCACAGTCCATAATTTAGTGGCAGTGGGCATATGGCCAGTAATTAGAATGCGCAGAGGCAGGCACGAGAAAGGGTGGTTGGTGATGGTTGTGGCGCTGAGTAGAAATGTGACGAAGCAGTAGAGGTTTGGTAGGGGTGCAAAGACAGTGATTGCTGTTCATTTTACCTTTAGCTAATTACTCGTAAAACCCAAAGGTAAAGAGTGAAGTCGTATGAGCCAGAAGACCTATTTTGGAAAATGAGAGCTAATATATCAAGGTTTACAAAAATCTAATCATATACTCACCATCAATTCCTTTGAGTTTCGCTATTGCAATACTCACCATAATTTGGTAGTGAACAATTGAATTTTTAATCACAGTTGAGGTAACAGAAACTTTCTAATACTACTGGTATTTTGAGCTTGATTGAACCAAAATGTGAAGGAAGGCATATAAACCGAAAATTAAACAATATCTCTAACCACCTAAATTGGACATAAACAAAAGTCCACAGCACATTATCCCTCGTGATTATTGTGCAACTCCTTCACAATTCTCCTATTTAAGAATGACAGACTTAACATCAGAACTAATGATTTTAATTACCAATTGAATTTGAAAGCAGAATATACCAAAAACACTGAATGATAATTCGTATTATACGAATCAGAAACTGATTCTCTAACAATAATCGACCAAAAAAAAAAAAAAAAAACAGAAATTCAGAATTAAACAAATTTAACAGTACGACAAAGGATAATTTAATTACCAAGTACAAAACAAACAAAAATGAAGGAAATTGTAGTAAGTGATTGAAAAAATTACCAGAAGTAAGACGATCAAGAGCAGAAAAGAGGTGAGTTTGGCTTCGAGAAGCATCTTCAGCTTTGTAATCAAAATCCCTAATAATAGTAGCAACCATTGTAGAAATGCCTTCAGCTAGAGCTTCTGAACTACCCGTGATGTTATCATCATTTTCAGGCGAATTTCTTAAATTGGAATTATTAGTTGGTGCATTTCCGGTTGAATTTGTGTCGGAATTCGACATTATTTCCTCGGCTTTGGTGAATCACAGTGATACGCTAGACGAAGAGGGGAGAAAATATGTGCGCTTGAATTACGCAAGAAGGTTTTTTTGGTTCCGGTGATCACCGGACAGTCAATTGACTTTTCTATGGCAAAAATAAGGTGGTGTTTGGTTGCAACTTGCATACATATTTGTTGGAATTGAAATTTCTCCTGAATTTTGTTCGAAGCTTGTTTGGTAGATAATAAAATGGGAAAAAAAAATGAGGTAAGTGTAAATTCATCATTTTAAGAATTAAATTGAAAAAAATGAGGTAAGTGTAAATTCGTCACAAAACATAAGAATTAAATTGAAAAAAAATGAGGTAAGTGTAAATTCATTACAAAACATAAGAATTAAATTGAAAAAAATGAGGTAAGTGTAAATTCATCACAAAACATAAGAATTAAATAGGTTTTGAAATTATTAGAGGAACATTTCTATTTTACCTAAGGGAATATGTACACTCCTTCCTTTCTTATTGGTTGAAACTAGCTCATGCATGAAATTTACATAGTACATCAGGGTGTACCATGTAGAAAATAAAGGCATTCTTAGCTTTAATTTTTTTTTTAAATGATTTATCCTTAATTTAAGGGATTTGTTAGTTATTCTCCATATTAAAAGTTTTCAAAATTAGATTTAATATTTTTGGAGTGACATAATTACAATTTTGAAATATAGAAAGAATTTCCAGAGAGAGAAAATTTTTAGCAGAGAAAATTAATGGCGGGGTGTATGAAATTAACATGATTCCAATTACAGATTTATTGATAATACGTATGAGAATGAAGATTTGGTTAATAATGAAGATGAATTTGAGGATTTCATAATCAAATGTGAAGGTAATTTTTTTTAGGTTTTTCTTCGTTTTTAAATTTATAGTTATAATTATGATGTTGATGCTAATTATAATAATCTCTTAAATTGTTAAATTTCATAATTTGTGGATTTTTTAATCAAAGGAAATTTATTTTTTTTAACTTTTTTGTATTTTTCAAAGGTTGAAATGAACTATGTTTGATTATGATGAATGTTCCTTTATCACATATTCAATTTGTTTTCCTTTATAAAAAACGTATTCAATTTGTTAATTGTAATGGAATATGTTGTTTAAGTCTAATTAATATGTTCTTTGAGTCTAAACTATATGTTATTTACATTACAAATTATGTTCTTTAAGGTATAATGTTCTTTGAGTTTCAATAATATGAAATATGTTCTTTTTACTTGAATAATATGTTCTTCTATGTTCATGTTCATTTATTTTAACTCTTTTTTTTTTTGGGGTATTGAGTGATATAGCACATATTATTTTAAAATTAGTTTTTACGTTAGTTTTAATATTAAACCTATTCATCTTGAATACTACCTCCGTTTTATTTAGTTGACATGTTTTGACTTTGTGCACTATTCACATAACTTACTTTGACTTTGTTTTGTGAATTAGTGTTAGATTAAAATAGTCATGTGGGGTCTTGTTAGCTTCGTTTCAATGTCTAGTTTTCGAATATGAAAATTTTATATCTTTTGTTAATAAGTAATTAAAGATATTTACATTTGAAAGTATGCGTTGGCAAACGTACTTAAATGAAATGTGTCAACTAATATAAAACAGAGGAAGTATTATTTATTAAATTTATATATATTTTTTTTTTTGTGTGTTGATTAATTAACATTTTTTTTTGACAATTGATTAATTAACATTTAATAATTGTGTACTTTTTTTTTTTTAATTCAGGATCGCAAAGGTTGATGGAGATATTCTTTTTGGACATCATCTATTGATGATTGATTTTCATATCCAAAGAACATTCGTAATATTTATAAAGAACATGATTAAATCATGTAATAAATATACTTAAATTTAAACATTTAAATTTAACAAGGATTATCCAAAAAAAAATTAAAGAATATTTTCACAATAACCAATGAATATTATGTGACAATAAATGTACATTACAATTACAGTTAGAGAACATGGACATTTAAAATATTTTATCAAAAGATCTAATAAAGATTATAATATGACATAATAGAGGACATATGGAAGAAAAATAGTCTTAATAATTAATTGTACATAACATACAAAAATAAAGTACATCATATTTTATAATAAAGAACACTAAAAAACATATAAAGAACATCACAAGAATTATACATGACCATTAAAAATGAATATTATAATTACATAGAAAAAAATTTGTTGAAAGAATATGATTGATTTCAGTAGAGATTTTTTAAAATAAAGAAAATGAAATAAAACATATGGGTAATTGAAAATTTTAAATATGAATATGAATTTTTGAATTTTGAAAATAAAATCTTGAAATAATTTTAAAGAAAATAATTTTAGAAAGAGAAAAATATTCTAGAATCTTAATTTTTTTGAAAAGATTGTATCAATAAATGTGGGATATGGTTGGTTTCTTTCCGAAATTTAATGAATATACCTACAATAACGAAAACATTTGTGTAGAACGGATTCACTGTGAGTCCGCCTACAGAAATACACACCGAAGAAGCGATGATGTGTCTAGGTCGACCACTAGCAGATTCAACACCAGCAGCTTGTTTCAGAAACCATGAAACTTTCGAAGATTTGATGACGTAATCGAATGTTTGATCCTTGTAAGTGATGAGGGAGACAGCCATTGGAGCTTCGGGTTTGTACTTTTTATTAGGAGCATTGAAATCCTTACAAAACACCATTAGATTTAGCTTGAGTTAACCTAGGATTGCTCTGATAGGTAGACCGGGTTTGGTGTTTCATGTTGGATTGTTAGTCAGATTGTCGCCATTACTGGTTTTCTTATGAGGTTTTTGCTTTTGCTACCGCCATTGTTGGAAAATCCGAAAGAGGAGAAAGAGAGAGGAGTTTGTTGGAGGAAGAGAGGAGAGGTGGTGGTGGTCTGACATGGGTGGTTGAGGAGAGAGAAAATGAAAGGAGAGTGTGGGGAAGTGGAGAGTACTAGATTATAAATGAATAAGCCCCTAAAAATATTAATGTCAGATATTAGATTACTACTGTCAGATATTAAAATATTATTGTTATATATTAGAATATTATTGTTGTTTAGGGTAAAAATACCCTAAACACGTGGACCAATTAGGTCGTGACATGTGTCACCCTAGTAAGTGCCCAAAATAGGCCAATAAGGATAAGACACATGGTACAGTAGTCATGAGGAGAAATAGCGGCCTTCATGGGCTCAATCCCCGAGGCGCCGTAAAAACGGCGCATCCTAGTTACCTACGTTAAATGACCTATGGAAGGGCACTAACTCCCATGCCCTATAAATAGGGACATTTATTACCTTGGGAGGCACACACTATTTTACACATAACAATTTGATTATTACACCAATCATTCAATACACTACTTACAACAGTGAAATCACCTAATCTCGGGATCCAAAAAGATCTACTTTACTTTCTGCATTTTACTCAACTTCGAGAGTTATTAACTCTATCGTCGGAGGCGAAACTCCGAACAACCGAGATTCTGTTTGTTGTAGGTACAAGAACCCGAAGATCCAGTCTTGGAGTTGTAACTCTCCCGTAGGACACATCAGGAAACCTCAAGAGTACCTCTGAGATGGCTTATGAAGAACCAGTACCACGTTCGAATGGAGCAGATGTCCATTCGGACCATGATACTAAGTCGGAGCCAGAGGTTGAAGTACATACGGCTGAAGATGGTTCCCTCATTACTAAACACAATCGCTCCAAGGATAAAAGGGAGCGAAATGCTAGCTAGGCTGGTGGCTGAACTGCTCACATCACCTAGTCGATCTGAATTCTTGAAGTTCATGACAGACTTCAAGGAAGAGATGAAGAACTTCATCAAAATTCAAGCGCCTGGCCCAAGCAAAGGTCGGCCGCCCAAGAAACCTTCTCATTCTAAGAGGGGCAAGACCGTCAAGGATAGGGAACCCACTCCTCATCTCAAGCTGAAGGAGGGAGTCAGACCCTTCATTGACTAGACAAAGATATGTCTCCTTAAAACGTTAATGTTTTACCCCGTATTTTTATACGTATATTAAATTAACACATTATTTTATGAAGTATTTAAATAATTCGAAATTAATTATTTATGGTATTTTAATAATTTAAAAAGGTTTATTTTAATTAAAAGTCCATTTTTATTTATTTAATAGCAATGTAAATGTTTTATTTTATTATTTAGAAACTTTGAGGCATAATTATTTTATAAAAAATAGTTTTAAAGTTAATGAAATTTTAAAGAAAGGCAAATGTCATTTGGAATAGGAGTAGGAATCATTAAAGGTAGAAGGGGAATTTTAAGTAGGAGGGTTTGAGAGAGGGTATAAATACCCATCCTATGAGAAAATTGAACTTTGCCCAAGGTGGAGAATACCCAAAGGTAAACTCTCTTTCTCTCTCCTCTTATTTTTTTTCCTCTCTTCCTTAATTTTTCCTCTTCCCTTACAAACACTCACACACACGTCACACACGTGGCCGGCCACCACCACAGCCACCCACTGCCACTAGTAGGCGGCGTGACATCAGCCCTTGTCGTGGTGTGTGCATGCGCAACCGTTAACAAAAAAAAATTCTTCTTTTGTTTTAAATTAATCCAACCTTGTTTAATTATTGATTTTGGGTGTGTGTGATGATTTTATGATGTTTTAATAATGATTATTATGTATATAATTTTCAGATTTGGTTTTTGAATTAAAAAGCCCCAAATTGAAAACCCTAGGTTTCTAAACTGTTGTTTATTGATGGAATTTGATTGTAGTTAATCAAAACTATTGAAATTAATGTTTTTAAACATAATTACAGTAAGTTTATATGTTTTTATAATGCTGGAATTTTTATATAAAGGCTAGAATTATGTTTCTTGAAAGGATTTTTAATTACCCAATAATTAATTGGAAATAAAAATAGGTGATTTAAATTAATTTTCAGCATGTTTTAGAAGGTTTGAAAGTGATTTAAAGAGTGTATATATTTCTAGAAATTTATATTGAATAGGTATTAAGGTCTCTTTGTAATTTTGGGTTGTAGGAGACTTCCAAGTGAGTGATTTGTGTAGTCGTGGCGATTTTGAGATCATATTCGAGGTACGTTCGCGTACTCGGTAATTATTTAAGTGTGTAGAAGCATGCTAGGCTTTGTTTAATTAATTTCAAGGTAGTATCATGATAGATATTGGTTG